GGATGGATCATCATCTACAGAATCAACATAAAACAAATATAGTAAAAAAAAAATCCAAATATTATTACCACAAATAACATTCAAACCCTAAAATGACAATAAAGAGAAATGACAATCTTCATAACAAATTAATTAAAAAAAATGCAATACATCTTAAGCCATGAGCAATCCATTCCTTCAATTGTTATTGACAAATTACATACAACCTATTTCGCCAAATAAAAACCTAACAACAGATTTTGAGGAAAGGTTCTGATACACATTTTAATAAGAAACAACATAACTTTAAAGACAATCAACAAGCTTCTGATTCACATTTTCACTTCAAACGATTAAGGAAAAAGTTTTCATATGCCACGCTTTACCCCCAAAGTTGAAGTTACAACATAAATATTACATAAAAAATGTTTCTAAATATTATATTGAAATACACTTTCATCCCTGGGGCTCAGAAATCAAGCTTGGCCTTTGATGGGCTCGTTTCAAGAGAGAGCAATGCTCTGTGGGACCTTTATAGTGACAGTGAGAGAGTTTTAGGACCTTCGATCATAGAGAGATAGGGAGAGAAAAACGTGGTCCTTTGTAGGACCTTGGTAGAAAGAGAGATGGAGAGACAAGCTGAGTCTTTTGCCTCGGTAGAGAGAGTGAGTGGGGCCTTGATAGAGAGAGAGGAAGATTACAAATTGGTGATGAAGCTTTATAGAGATAGAGGGAGAGTAAAAAAATAGATCGTGAGAGATAGTGGAGCCTTGGTAGAAAGAGAGGGAGACAAGAGCTCGTGCTACGCCTCATTAGAGAGAGAAATGACCCTCTTATTATACCCATCTAGAGAGATAAAATACACTCATGTGCCCTGAAAGAAAGAGAAACGGAATCGTGTTGTGTCTTGGTAGAAAGAGAAAGGGAAAAATTGAGAGCCTTAGCAAAGAGACAGGGGAAAATCGTGAGTTTGGTGGAGAGAGAAATGGGAAAATCGTGAGCCCTGGCAAAGAGACAGGGGAAAAATCGTGATAAGTCCACTTGGTGGAGAGAGAAATTGAAAAATCGTGATCCCTATAGAGAGGGAAAGAGAAAAATTGGTGAATGCTATAATTCTTGAGATGTAATAGTCAAATCTTAAAGAACAAAACAAATTTGAGATTTTCACCATATATTGTATCAAAATAAATTTTTGCATTAAGGAACTTTCATATTTGTAAAATGTCTATTCACAACTTAAAATTCACAGGAAGATCTATGTATATATACAACTTTGATAAAGCAAAAGATACATAGAAAAATATATCCATGACTACAAATTCTTTCAAACTACTGTTGTTGTACATATGCATAATGAGACAGCGATTACTCTGAAAAGAATTCACGATCGTTTGATGAGTTTGGCTACTTAGTAAGTGATCATCATTATCCTTAAAAAGTATCATGGTTGGAAAGAGTAAATATTTCCTAAAAAATATATATTAAAAATAATATGAGGAACAACATACATGGAGAACGGTTTCAAATTCATAAACATAGAAATTAACATAATTCAGAAGATTTGAAGGCATATTGAATCAGTATGGAAAGTGCATACATAAATCATTTGACAGATATGTTCAATATAATATAATTCGTAAGATTTCACAAAATACCCTACTTGTGTCCCAAGTAGGTCACCTATATACCCCATCAGCGTCTTAGATGGGTCCACTTAATCCCTGCACGCCCACCTATACCTTACCAGTGTACCGGATGAGTCCACTTAATCCCTACCGGATAGGTCCACTTATAGCTCCCTGGCGTACTAGATGCGTCCACTTAATCCCTACCAACATACCAAATAGATCTACTGATACCTCATCGGCGTACCTGATAAGTCCACTTGTATACTTAAAATATCTCTGAAACTCTTAAACATCAGGAAGCAATAATATCATATATTCCAAATATCATTGGATGCATTAACATGAATTCACTTGAAGCAATTTATAGCGATCGCTTTCACTGACATTTCTATAAGTAATCAGTCAAAGGTTTGGATAATAATTTCCGAATGGTAGCAGTTCTGAGAGACATTCTTGAAATATAACATGATAAACCGTCTCTTATCAACAGAAAAACTCTTATGGAAATCCAGAGTTAAATATTGAATTTTCAACTATCAAATACCCTTAACAATAAACGGAAATATCACAAATTTATGGAAATATAAATTCTTAAATAATTATTTTATTTAAGAATTTAATAGACAGAAATATTGCATAAATACAAATTATGTTTACAGGAAAATAGGGTCACTTGCGCGTAACACTTACAGTATCTAAGATTTGTACTAATAGACGAAAATACAGAAATAACAGTTTTTAAATAACTATTTTATAGAAAAATGATATCACTTGCGCTTAACACTTATAACATAAAAATGGATGGAATTATCACAATTTTATTAAAAACAAACTATTTTTTTCAAAAAAATGAGATCATTTATCTTTATATATCACGAGTTGGGTATGTTGTTACTGCCTCCAGACCGGAGTCAAGGGCGTCCATCTTTCCAACAACATTTAAATATTACTGTATGTTCCGATAGCCTCAACCAGAAACACAGAAACCAGTAGTGACGGTATATAATTATATGAAGAGCATAACCCAAGCATTCTCCAAATTCTAGAATATAGCATAGCCCAAGCATTTTCTCTCATCAAGTACGCATTTTCCTCTCAAGCCCTATCGGAGAATAACATGGACTCTACATCACAACCGACCTAGATGTTCCATTTTTAACGAGACCTTGAGTTTTATTACTGAAATTAGCATGAGCATATGCAAATACATCGGTTTATTTCTTCATATGGGTTTTCCGAGCTTTTTCTGGGCCATTGATTGCACCGGATGACTTGCTTTTAGTTACTTGAGACTCCATGGCAATGGTAAAGGTCTTGGGGTCTGTTTATACCTCTGATGGGCTTTCCGTGGGCCATGGATGGCAGGGACGTAGAGTGTGGGTTTATTTAAAGGGAAAAGTTTATATAGAGCCGAAGGCTCTAAACAATCAAATTTAAGCCTACTTCAAAAATGAGGTTGTTTTGATGCCCAAATATCTTCAAATTGATCATCTCGACATCAAAAAGCATGGACATGAGAAAAAAATGGATTTCAAGTTTTAAAAATAGTGCTTTTTGTAAAGCATTTTTGGACCGTCAATTTTCAAGATTTTCAAGTTTTCATAGATATGTCGATCTATACTATTTTTAAAGCTTTATATTTTATAAATAAACATAAAAATATATTTTAAAACTATCATAAAGATTTTCAATATTGAAACTACATTTCTCGACACTATTTGAAGGTAAACTCTAATTTGATTGTTTAGAACCTAAGCTCTATATAAAACGCACCCTTATTTAAAATGTCCAAGACTTCATGGTGCATACGTCCTTGATAGGAAGATGGCATACTTATTTAACATACACATCATAGTTGAGGTATCACGGAGCTAACACACGAGAGTAATAACCAGCCAAGCCACAGGGTGACAGTAAAAAGAGAAAACGACAGAAGCAAAAAGAAAGACCGGTCCTCTTGGGCCATGCTATGTAAATAGTCTACAAAACGAAAATATGAAACTTCTTCTAAACTAACGGTGCCATGGTGTCTTATTAACACGATAGATTATCATTAAAAAAATTATTTCTTCATATAAGTATTTTGATTTTGTTTTTGTTTTTATTTTTATTTTATTATTATTGTTATTATTGTTGTTGTTGTTGGGTTGATGTGTGACAGTCCCAGGTATTTGGTAGGGAAAGATTCAACATCACATCCCAACCACGAGGTCTATGTAGATAACTTAAAAGAAGGACAATTAGTGCCAATGATTTTGGATTTGTCTATATTGATTCTGGCCCCAAAAAGAGGTTCATAAAGCTTCAAAAACAACCAGCATATTGTAAATGGCTAAGAATAATTCCATTACGCCAGGTAAATAGGCCTTGGATAATTCCACAGTCAGCTATGCCTTGCAGCATTTTGCTAAAGATTTCAGCTATTAAGGTGAAGAGAAAGGGAGAAAAAGGGTCGCCCTGACATATGCCCCTAGTTGCTTGAAAATAACCGTTGGTTTTACCATTGACCAGAACAGAAAAGTGGTCAGTTGAAAGGCACCCAAAAATCCATTTGCTCTAGACAACCCAAAACTCATGGACTCCATGATTCTGTCAAGAAAATCCCATTACAACCTCATGGACTCCATGATTCTGTCAGGAAAATCCCATTACACCCTGTTATACGCTTTTTCAAAATCAAGCTTCGGAAGCCATGAACCCAACCAATTCCATCACCCTTTGCAATAAAATGGTAGCCCAACCAGCATATGTGCAGGCTAAAAGGCACCTTCCAACAAGCATATGAACTCCAAGTTGTACCTCAAGCGTCCTTGCACACACATTGCATGCTTCATATACTCCGAATAGGCCTTCTTGTTGGTTCTTGGAATACAATGAGAAATAGTATTCTCATATTCAAGTATAATTTTTCTTGTTCTATTCACCACCGTCGGACTCAAAATCTACTCCTATAAATAACACAAAACAAACCTTCGAAAAATATTGATTCTCGTATCTTAAAATAACATCTAGCATTCTTTTATTAAAAAAATACAACATAACCACCAACATTAATGCAAGAAAAGAGTTAAAAGTCAACGCAGGCAAAGTGCTTTCTGTCGATGCAAATCACTCGCTCATTAAAGCCAAATTACTACAATAACCTGACGACATCAGGGCAATAGCCAATCGCATCTTCGTGAGGTTCTAATTCTTTTGCTGTCTCGTATAAACGTAAAATTGATATTTAATTGATACTATGAATATCATGTATTTTGTGGCACTCGGACAATAACTTGATTCTTTGTATTCACAACTTTTTTTATCATTGATTAAAAAAGCCATATAGATATCAATTATCTTACAGATCCACTTCATTTTAAGTTTAGAAATTTTTTTTGCCCACCCAAGCAAGGTTTTTAATCCTTGGATCACAAATATCATTAAAACAAAAAATATTTATCCGGACATGCAGGCATTTACATGCAAAACATGACGAAACCAAATGAGTACCAAAACTCAAAATATTTGCGAGCACACATGAGAAGTCGATTCAAATCCCCCTTTACTTGGATGCATGACATAAAGTCATCATCATGTACTGCATAAAATAACATTTTGTGGGAACCACTGAGTGTCAACTGCACAGTGAAAGAATCAAGCCCCAAGTTGTCTTTTTTTGGTTAGCAGAGGGATTCGAACCATGCAATTTGTGCTGTTTCCCTCAACACTCGAACCAACAAGTCCCCAGATCCCAAAGTGCCAAGTCCTTTTCTGTTTTTTTTTAATCAGATGACAAATCTGGTCATTCATACATAGGAGAGATAGAGAGCACTTCTCATCACGAGCCCATACAGGGGACCCCTAGTTTCCCCATCTTGTCAACCAGGAGGCCTTGTGGGAATCTACAATCTCATTTGTCGTTTTATTTACGGCCCCCATCGTCTCTGAGAATGTCAACTCCATCTTCTCCTTGTGCTTTGAGATAGAGTCAACCAGTTGAAGGGGCTCGCCGCCACATATCTGGATTTCTTCTTCATATCTCTTCCTCACAGCCCTTAACTGTAATTTAGACTTCTGTATGAAAAATTGAGCTCATTAGATTCCTTGAACCAATCGTGCAATATAACTTGCTGCTTTCACAAAAATTTAGTAATTGTTGAAACAGAAAAATCTAATGGTCAAATCAATAGAAAAAGAATAAAAGAGCCATACCTTCAGAAACCCTTCAGCCTCCACTTTTTTCACATCCAATTGATGTGATTTATCCTCAATATCATTTTGGAGCCTTTTACCTTCTTCTGCACAGTGAACAGTGTATTCTTGAGTCTCTCGCCTTAACATCTCCTGCTTAGCCTCAGACTGAGGACATGAAACTTTGGTGACTAGGAGTAACAAAAAGCAAAGAGAAACCATGCTGTAAACAAGCTAAAAGAAAGAGAAGTGCCATCTATATTTTCATATGTGATTAGATTAAACATAAAATGAAAAAAAACTATATTTTCATGGCTACAACTCAACTGAGGTCTATACCCTCTCCTTGTGATATTTCAATGCTTCATTCTAGTCAAATTCTCACCCTCTCCACCCCTGAATTCCCCAAAAACCTTGGCCCGTTTGCCTCCACCAGTTTTATAGAGACATATCATCAATGTTCTCAATATGCAGTGGCAATGACTAGATGATGGAGAATTGGCAAGGCAACTTACTTCTTTATGGCTAGTTTGGATGTACCCAAAACTAAAAGATTTGTGGATTGTCGTCCAACAAGCTCGCCATAGGCAGTTTAGATAACACAACTTTTTAGATAGAAAGACAAATAACTCTACTCTCCCAACAAGGCAAACAACCTCAACCAAAAAAATACAGAGTCCGACTTGAAATTTTTGGGATGACAAGTTTTGTCTCTTCTTAAACCTCTTAGACCAAGACAACCAATCAGCTCCCTCCCTCACTCCCTCCCTCCTCCCCCCCCCTCCGCCCTCCCCCCCTCCCTCCCTCCCAGTGTTTTAAAATGCGTAATGCAGCCAAAAGCTGTAGGGGGGCCGATGCGGTCTGGATGCAAATGCATCGCAACAATGTGGTCAATAAATGTAAAAAAATTCTAAAAAGTCTAAAAAATTAGGTTAATGCATAAAAAAAAATATGGAGGTGATATATGTGATAATAGGTATTTTAGTTTAATGATTGACTCCAAAATTATTAGCAGTAGAAAATTTTGTATCCACTATCCCCTGATTGAAACTAGAAACTTGAAACTAGCTTCATAAAACATTCAACAATCAACAACCATAAGCACAAATTTGCAACCACAAACTTTAAAGTTACAAAATAGTGATATTACAAACCAAAAGTCCATGTCTCCATTAAGATTAAAGAGTTTTGAAGTCAAGCTCAAAAAGAGTTAATAGCTAATACAATCATCCATTCATCATAGAAATAGAATTCATCTTGAGAGTCAATTTTGAAATTTGAAGTCAATTTTTCAAATATTAATCAGAGAAGTCATCTTGAGAATCGTCATGTGCATCATCAATATCATCCTCGATCTCCTCTAAATTGGCCTCCTCCTCCTCGACCTCTGGAGCTAATGTGCGAGTGCAACTAGACCCAGCTCCTCTACTCCTTTGTGCTCTAGTGTTAGGTCGATCTTCTTCATTAGCCCCTGTTGCTAGCTCTACATCAAGTCATGTAAGATCAACACCCTGAAACACACGCTCTAGTCTTGGATCCATGGCCCACTCACTTGTGGAATCACTATCTGCTTCATACAATTGAATAGGGTTGAGCTTCGTGCAATTTTGATACCTCTCCCTAAACCGCTCATTATACCACACATAAACCAAATCATTCAACTTCTTCTGGTCCAACCTATTCTTTTTTTTTATATGGAGCTGTGGTAGAAATTTGAAATTAGATTTTAGATTAGAAAATTGAAATTTGAAATTGAAATTCAAGAAATAAGGATTAAGGAATAAGGAATTAAGAACTTACATGCTCAAATGTACTCCAATTGTATTCACAACTAAATAAGCTACATGTAAGATTCAACACTCGAATAACGAGACATTATAGATTTGGTGTCTCGCTTCTATATAATGCCCACCATGCAACTGTATAATATTTTCTAATTTAGATTATAGATAAAAATTAAGGGTAAACAAATAAACAATGGAACTATACATAAATTCATAGACAAGTAAGGGTACTTTTGGCCTCTACCTAGATCTGTAGTGTCCCTATTTCAAGTAGCAGTCTCTCTCCCAATGTTTCCCAAGGCTAACTTGAACTTAATCAATTCATGGCTCTAGATCTCATCCTGAATATCTTTGTCAGGCACCAACCTCTCAAGCACATCTAAGAACCCACCATTTATTATACGATCTGACTCAATGGATGGATGGGTGCTTGTAGTGAAGAGATGGGTTTTAGAAAGTAACCAGCTGACTGGAGGTGCATGTGAAGTTGGGTATCTCATCTCCTATTAATAATTTCAAGTATAGCCTTGCGCATATTTTCATCATCCTTTAAAATATTCTTTATCTCTGCTCTTGCCCTAGTGGCGGGCTTCACATCACCATCAACCAGTCGAAGCACTCTCACTAAAAGGCAAGCCACCTCCAATGCTAGAATTATTTGATTCAAAAAAAATATAAAATCCTCATCATGCTTAGGACTATGGTGTGATTGTAAATAAATCCAACAACAAACATAGATCTTGAAATCACCCCACTAAATAAGATATTGTACCCCTTTCCTTAAGCATAAGATTAACACAATGAGCTGCGCAAGGAGTCCAAAACATATGCGTCCTTTTCAAAGTCAAGACATGCCCAACTGCAGCATAATTGGCACCATTGTCAGTGACAATTTGTACCACATTTTTCTCTCCAACAAACTCTACAATCTCATCCATCAAGCCACATAAGTATGTAGCATCATGTGACTTGTCTGATGCATTAACAGACTTAACAAAAAAAGTACTTGTTGGACAGTTAACCAAAAAATTTATGAATGCTCTCGACTTCCCATCGGACCAACCATCACACATAATAGTGGCCCCATATTTCTCCCACCCGTCTCTTTGAGAAATCAAAATTTTGTTGACATCAAATACAACATCCTTCAACAAGGGATCCTTAACCTCATGTAGTGAAGGAGCAACAAGTCTTAGGCCATATTACCCAATTGCTTGGACCATACATGCAAAACTATCGAAAGTTATAGAATTAAAAGGAATGCCGGCCATATAAGATTGGGTTTACTCTTACATTCCCAGAAATTCTGGCTAAGTGTTTTTTTGTCAAAAAATACCACCCATTTAAGTATTTCCAATGAGAAAGCAAATCACACAATTTCTATCTTTCGGATTTTTTAGTTTAGCATATTTTCAAGCCGGATCCTTAGTACTAGAAGATTGGGCAGAAGACATTGCCCCACAAACAAGTATTACTGTACAAGAAATAAAAAGTTACCGATTATTGAAGCAGTGCTCGATTTCTTCATGGCCTCTAAAACCCCCGATTTCTTGTCACAAATTCATCTAAACATCCCCAGATCAACAACCAAAAGGTTCAAATCACTATCCAAGTATCAAACTATCCCCAAATTCAAGATCTCAATGAAAAAAAATTTCAGGCTAAATTTTGTTTTTATCGATTTGATCTCAAAAAATCCACGAAAGTGGCTGTAAATGCTCGTTTAGGGGTTTTAATACCCTCCCAAAGTGTTTCCCCCAATTGTTGATGGCTAAAAAGACCATTTTGCACCTCCCCGAGGAGCACAATTGAAAATTTTTTTGCAGAAAACGATACGGCCAGATGCAGGGATGACGGGATGCGACGCATATGCGCCCGCATAACTCAAAACCGCATATGCAATATGTGTAGATGCGGTGCCCACCGCATACCGTGTGATGCAGCCACATATGCGGCGATACGGCCACATATGCGGCGATGCGGCCACATTTTAAAACACTGCTCCCTCCCTCCCTCTCAATGTAGAGCTATATGATAAAGAGACCCCCTACAGACCCAACACACCCAACCCTCTCTACCTTTTACCTCACTCTCTCTGAATGACATTATCATAGAGCGTCACTTTACACCAAAAGAGGCCAGCAAATCGCCATACGCAAGCATCTCCTGCCTGCTCTCCGCACCATTACTATGCATCCTAAAAATTGAAGTTGGCGAGTATGGATCATAGCTTTGACCACCATTATTACCAGAAGTACCTGGCTTATGAAGCCCATCTGCTAGCCCACCATTGCCTCCATAGGTGAAGCCGGAAAACTAGGCATTTGGCTTTGCTGAAATGTTAGTGTTTGTGGCATGGCCTTATCAGAGGAGGACCCACCATGGTTGTGACAGCGGCATTGGGGCCTGGGATGTATGAGGCCATGACAGGAAACAAATCAGGGTATGGTAGTGGCAATAGGGTCGAGCAACCGAATTAGGATTGATAGCACACATGAACTTGACCTTATAGCTTGCTGGTTCTCCCTGTCCCCTGGTTTTTGTAGCCAATTTCTCCAGATCAATGGGATGAATTGTCGGAATCAGGGCACAGGGAGTAACAGTTCTCCAATATTTAGGGGGGGGAGAGATCCCTGGAAAATTGAGATTTTCTGGTGCATGGTCAGCTACAAAGGCTGCTGCAGCAGACTTGTTGGAGATCTTTTAATTAAGGTTTGGGCAAACATAGGGGAACAGAGAGATGGAAGACCATCTAGGGGAGTGAGGGGTTTAGGGGAGAGTTTTGGTGAAGTTGCTGACTTGAGGACACAAAAATTATTTTCAACACTCCAACAATATAATATTAGAGAAACTCATTTTTTTTTTTTTTTGAAGACGATAACTGTATTGTCTTAAAGATAGAAGTACAAAAATGTGCTTCCTTAAAGGCAGTAAAAAACAACAAAAAATTGGCTCCCCCCAGGGGGGACGCAATATGTAGCTCATCTAGGAGAGGCTTGAATAATAAAGAAAGGAAACTAGAGAGGATAGGCAGGGGGTAGAGTGGTTGCAAAATTTACAAGTAGCTTCTCCAAGAGGACCACTCATACTCCAGCTTGGGAAGCACCAGCCTTGGCAACGGTATCTACCTCTGAGTTGCTCTCTCCCCACATGTTTCCAGAGGGGAGAAAATGGAGTTAGCAATTGGGTGATTTCGTTGAAGATGTGAAGCAAATACCAAGGGCATTCAGAGGAGCCTGAGGCCCAGGTGATGCAGTTCTGGGAGTCCCCTTCGATTATCAGTACGGAGCTCCAAGAGGGGTTGTAAAGTTTGAGCCCTTCAAGGAGAGCAACTGCTTCAGATATTTGGTCATCTGCATGGCCAATTGATTTCGAGAATTGGTG